TATCTCAACAAACAACACCAGAATATAAAACTCACCATGGAAACGGAAGAGGAAAGAAAGATTAACTATCTGGATTTAACAATTAAAATAAACGATACCGCGAACAAGAGAGAGTTCGAAATATACAGAAAACCAACAGCCACAGACACAATTATACACAATAGCTCAAACCACCCACAGCAACACAAAATGCAGCATTTAGACAAATAACGAGGCTTGAAAGGAACCCTCAAACAGAAGAAGACTACAAGAAGTAACTGGATACGATATATGCCATTGCGGAAAATTACGGATATAGGAGAGGCCTGGTGGAGAAGTTAAGAAAGGACACAAAATCGAAAAAGACTAGCAAAGAGGAAAACAATGAAAAAACTTGGACAGTTCTAACTTACACAGGAAAGACATCTTACAAACTTGCCAAATTCTTTCATAAGTACGACATTCAGACATCATTTAAAACAAGGAACACAGTGGGAAATATATTGAAAGAGAAAATAAGCGAGGAAAACCCGCTAGATAAACAGGGTGTTTACAAGTTAACCTGCGAGTGCCGACACAGTTACATAGGACAAACAGGGCGAAATATAAGAACAAGGTATCGAGAACACATAATGGATTATAATAAGAAGAAACGAAAACCAGAGGCTGCAATAGAATCAAAGTTCGCGAATCACATGATCAAAAATAAATGCACACCAATGAAGATTGGACAAACAACAGAACTTCTTCGTGTACAGCATAAAGGACAAAGATTGAATATATTAGAAAATATGTAAATATATAAACAGAAGACCTTCAAAGGACAAATAATAAATGAGCAAATAAATACTGTATCGAACGTACTGTTTGAACCTCTAAAACTACTGTACGAGAAGAAAAATTACAACAACAAAATATTAAGGACAGACATGGAAGGGAATACACCAACTGCAAAAACAAAGAGGCTAAAAATCAAGGACTTCTACCTGCCGTCAAAAACGAGCCAAAACAATTCATCTACCTATTGAGCACCGCAAACACTGCAAAACTAAAAAGGCGTACCTAACAAAAGAAAGAGGTAGTTAACAAGGAGTATAAATACGAGCAACCAAAAAAATTATGCAGAACGAAAAGTGACACTGAAGATGGCACAACGCCGAAACCGGTTTGTCTCCAAACCAAATTTGACAAGGGATGACGGAAATTCGTTCCAAAATACAGCATATTTTTAACTTCTTCTGGCGAGGCGACATCTATCTCTAGAGTTTTTCTAATTGTTTGACTTTGATATGATACCTACGACGAGGTTGATCTAGACTAGGTTTGACATAAATACCTTTGCTATATTTATAGTATGGTGGTCTGGACATACAACATTGCAAGTTGATAAAAGCGTTGTAAAATGGTGATTTTTGGTGATTTTTTTTCAGAATTCGCACTTTTTTTAAACAATCTGGACACCTGCTCACAAGTCCAAATCGGCAGAGGTTAGGTTCAGTTATTAAAGTTTTTCTATCTATCTATCTTTGAAAAAATTTAAAAACAACACCAAAAATCTCATTAATACGATTCCGTTCAAAACTTTTTTTTATTTTTTTTTTATATTTTTATGTAAATTTTTTAAGCTTAAACCGTTTTGTCGTTTGAGGGGATTTTCTCAAAAAACATCTTTAAGAAACTATTTTTATTCATAAAAAACTTCATTTTTGGAGGTATTTTCAAAGCGGTCTAGCTCGCTTAAATCTTAATATTTTTCCGAAATATTTTGGTGGACGGCTTGAAATATAATAGATTTTATAATTCCAATAGAAACGGCACCGATTTTTTTTTTGTGGGGAGTGATGCAGTCTAATGTGCATATACATATGTATGTTTTACTTTTCATATCAGCTTAGGCTGCGGTTACTATGCATGCGTATTCTGACGAAATTTTATCCTGATGATTTCTTCGGAACAAAAAGATGCGAAACAAACCAACAAAGTTCGTCAGAATACGCATGCATAGTAACCGTAGCCTTACCCAGTTGGCAATAGAAGGGCCTGAAACCCCTTCTAGAAGCACTTCTAGTCCTTCCATTGGCAGACAGGAGCACTTCTACTTCTCCTTCTTTTTTGTATGAGATGTCCCACTTATCAAGGCCTTACATTTCCCTTTCTCTGGGAAGGGCTTCCATGTGCACTTCCATAAGAAAAGCTGCAGAAGCCCTTCCTGAATTGTGCTGTTATAGTGGCTTATTATTTAATTAAAGTAAGTACTTACAAAGTGGCTCATTAGGTAAGGCCTTCCACCTCCCTTTCTCTGAGAAGGGCTGTAAGGTATAATTCCATAAGAAACGATCTAAAACCCCTGCATGAATTGTTGCCATTTAATGGCTTTTTATTTAATTAAAATAAGGGCTTAAAAAAGGAATATAACAAAAACATTAATAAATTTCAATGTAAATAATACTGTACACAATTACTTACACTTGCGATCAGCTAATTAAGCCAGCAACGTTTTGATCTATTTTGACTCTTTTATTTTGTTTATTTAATATGTATTAGTTTTTATGATAAATGAGCTATATAACAAACATCATATAAACCCACATTTTAAACTTTGTTCAAAATTTATAAAAAATCTGCAAAGTTTCATCTAAATTTTCAACTATTTATTGAGATTATCGAAAAAATGCGTAATTCCGTTAGAAAAATAACTTGCACTTTATTATACTAGTAGGTATTTATTGGGCTATTAAACTACATACTCCAAAAAATTCTGAAAAATCTCAATAAAAAGTTGAAAATTTAGTTGAAACTTTGCAATTTTTTATAATTTTTGAACAAAGTTTGAAATGTGGTTTTATATGATGTTTGTTATAGAATGAGGTAGTTTTTCATAAAAACTAATACATATTAAATAAATAAAATAAAAATATCCAAAATTGATCAAAACGTTGCTTCCTCATTTAGCTGATCACAATGTAAGTCATTGTAATTTAAATTTCGTATTTGGAACTCAAAAATTTCAAATATTACATATTACATATTTATGTATACAGATATTTTTCAAAGTGATTAATTAAATATATTGATAAATTCAGTAAATTTTGTAATTATGGACAAAATCATTCTGAAACTTCCAAAAAAGTTAAAGTTAAAAAGTAAAAGTAAAAGTAAATTTCACAACTGCAAGCTAGAGGAGGGTAACTCAACTCAGAGTTGAGTTATTGAATTGTTTCCCATCACAGTGTATACAGTGTGCCTTGCAGTGTGCCAAGTAATGACATTTAATTTTTCTGTGTTTTTTAAACATGTGTTATCTTAGGGTTAATTGAAATAAACAACTAACATAAACACATCAGTTCGTGTATGAATTGTCAAATATGGATATTGTCATTACTTGGCACACTGTCTACACTGTGGTTTCCCATAAGTGAATCGGTAGCTCAGACTCCCTGTCCAAAAAAATGTAACTCAGTAACTCAGTTGATGTCCTAGGGCTCACATGATTCAATTGAGTCATAGTGGCTCATATTTGTCCGTATAACTCTCTCACTTCGCCACAGTGTTTAGCATGGCAAAGTCTTGCATTTTGTTTTTGCACAAGGCGAATTTATACAAGGTGACGGCTAGAATACAACAACAACCACCACATGCATTTTGTATTGCGGGTGTCATGTCAAATCTCAATTCTGGCAACATAGCGTACATCAAAGTAAAGGTATTTTTATGCACTTTTTAAAAATAGTATTTTTGCGTATTGTTAATTACGTATTTTTTTAGAAAAACGTACATTTTTATAAAAAAATGGTTATAATTTCGTTTTTTTAGTTTTTCTCGAAATATGTATGTAAGATATATAAAGATGTGCATATCAAATAAAAGATATATCAATTACCTTTCAAACCATATCCACATTTTGAAATAGTTTTCGAAATACAAATGAAAATATTTAAAATTTTACCTTTACCCTCCCCTAACACCACCTCCATTAATTTGCAACAAAAAAATTGTACACCTTACAAATCAGTAGAAGGGAGCTGACCACGCCCACTTTAAATATTTGTTTTATCTCACCGGCCGCTATACCGCACTTATGCCTCAAAACGAGTCTACGATATGAATGAGTGTAACATACAAAGAGTCAAATGAGTTAGTTGAATGAGCTGACTCCTGAAAGAGAGTTGGAGTCATTGAGTCAACTCCTATAAATTTGCTGAGTTCCCACCCTTACTGCAAGAACAAAAATCTGCCTATGCAGCTTCTCAGGAAGGGTTTTTTGAAGGGCATGAAAAGGAAACATGCTGACAGGCCTCCTATGAGAAGCCGTTTTGCAAATGCCAACTGGGTAGTAGTTAAAGCGTAACAAAAAGCCAAATCACTTTCTGATTTATAATATTAGTAAGGAAAGGATTGATTGTTTTAAAATTTTTTTTTAATTTCATTTAATTCATTTCATTTGTTTGGTTTCAGGTTTTATTGTTTTAAAAGAAAAATATTTTTTAATTTTCATACATTTTTTTTACTGATTTTGTTTTTTGTTTATTTAATAGAGCCTTATAAATACAAATTCTAAGAGCCAGGAAAAACTATTATAAACTAATGTACATAGTTACTAGACTTGATCATGTTGTTGTTATTATTTTCGATAATGAGGAGATGTGGTAATCTCCGAAATAGCAGTTATAACTTTTGACAAATGTGAAATATTTAGCAAATAGATTTCGTGTTTAATGAGCAAAACTGCAAAAAAAAACCCACCGGTTAAGGAACTCTATTATGTATTGAAAAGGAGCCGATCTTTAAAATAAAGCTGAAGTTAAACTTTTCATATGAATTGGAGTAGGTATGTATATGTATAATCTCGATTCTTTAAGAACAACAGTGTGCATAATCAAGTGAAGCGACGTGCATATATACGTTTGTAGTGGAGGTGTTTTGTAAACTAAATATCAATTTATTTTGGTTTATTATAAGTCTTTGATGTACGTTTATGTATGTATATTCGAACATCTATTTGCAGTGATTCGCCAACATACCGTTCTTGTTTCCACACGTTAACAGCAAAACACTTGACAAATTCAGGAAAAACAACTGCAAATTATTCATCATTATTTTTAAATTATTGCATTCGTTAGCTTATCAACAGTCAACACCGTCATCTGCAAATATTTTTTATTTTAACTATTCACGATGTATGTTTTTAACATTTTCTTGTTATATTCTTTATTAAACACACTAAATTGCAGCCACGGTTTAAGTGGGTTTGTGAAATAACAAAGATTAATGAAGTTGCCGAAAACGTACTACCATTAACCTCAGTGTTGCTACTACAATTTCTACATTACCAGTTTAGCAACAACTTATAAACGATGTTAGTGTGGGCCAATTTGTATTTAAATTATGCCAAGTATTTAAATACACAAGTGTGGTTAATAACAGCATAAATTAGAACAAACAAATCAAGGATATACAAACATTCATACACATGTACATACTTAGATCCTGAAGTATTTTGATTAGGTGTGCATGTATTTACATCAGGGTGGTCCAAAAATGCATTTAAAAATTAAAGTCAGAACTTTTATGCTCTCACCTCCTAGGATTTTTCTATATTGGAAAAATATACGCCTATCTTTTTTATTTTGAGATAAAAAAATAATTAGCGGTCGCTCAAAGCGCTCAATGTTTTCCATGTATTTTATATAGGGAATGTTGTAGCTGATGTTCATTTGTTCGATATTTGTTTCCTACTTTGCTTGGCTCGTAATTGAAGCAACAAAGTTGATAATTGACACACTTCGCTGGGCGTTATTGGTTTTAGTCTGCGGTTGCTTCTCCTTTTTACAACGCTTTTATCTGCTTGCAATGTTGTGTGTCCAGACAGCATTTTAGCTATAAAACCTTTGCTTTGCAAAGTTCCTATAAAAAGCCCTAGGCATAGGACGAAATCTACCTCTATGGTTGGGAGGTAGATGTCGCCCTATGTACTACGTACGCTACAGCGCCATCTATATATAAATACGCCACAAGAAAATTTTTCAATCCCTTTTTTGAAAGCACCGTTCGCTCGATTTCAATGAAAAATACACCGATTTAAAGGATATAACTTCCTCTAATCCAGAAATGTTAGTCCCGATATATAGGGAGCGTGGAATCTGACATATAGACTAAAATGTGAAAACCACTATATCTCTAAAACGAATTATGCTAGGGAACTGAAACTTTGCACAGATGCATAGATTAGAAATACCCTACTTACGGCGAAAAGTGGTAGATTTTGGAAAAGGGGACGTGGTCCTCCCATACAAACTAAAATTCTCATATCGCTTTTCTCTGGAACCGCTTATGCTGACGTCCTGAAATTTTACACGCAACATATGTTGTCAATACCATACTTACGGCGAAGTATGGTAGATCTTGGAAAAAGAGGCGTGACACCCCCATACAAATTGAAATTCTCATATCGCTTATCTCTGGAACCACTTATGCTAACGTCCTGAAATTTGACACAGCTCTTTGATATCAATAACGTACTTATGGCGAAAAGTGGTATATAATGGGAAAGGGGCGTGGCACCGCCCATACGAACTGAAATTCTCATATCGCTTAGCTCTGGAACCGCTTATGCTAACATCCTGAAATTTGACACAGCAACAATCGAGGTTCCTTTTTAGGTCTATGTATTTTCAAAAGCTACTGAGGAGGAGACTTGGTAGAATTAGCATTAATCAATCCGGTGTTAACGTTCATAATTCGATTTTAAGTTTTCCTGTAAATTCGCCATAAATTATGCTGGTCGACTTCAAAATAGTAATTCGCATAAAGGATTTAATATTGGTGACAGGTAAAATTCAAGAGTGTATGAAAAAAGATGTCGAATTTCGACAACTGGGCGATACTAGTTTCTTTAAATCAGCGTTGGGCAGAGAGAGCTTTTACTCTGCTTGCGCCTATACAAAATATATAGAAAGCTTAAAAGAGCTTTGCCCGCGGGCAATGCATTGCTAATCAGTGCTTTAAATGAAATTAATTGGAAGGCGTACGTACATTCATATATATATGCATGTGTGTGCACCAATTTATTAATATCGTTGAATTATTTTAAAATCTATTGCAAAATTTTATACAGACAAGACCAAAGATGACCATACTCACCGACGTAATTGAAAACTCACCACCGTGTATGTGCGACGTTTACGTGGGCTTCTCTCTCTCTACGTACACGTCGGTGAGTGTGGGCACCTTAACAAGTAGAAAATAAATAAAATAAAAAAATCTTTTTAATATGCGTGGTTTTATAAATGGACTAAAAATTAACTTTTGATTTTGAGTTTAGCAAAAGTCATTATAAACAATTTATGAGATTGAAAATGAAAAGCGTGGAGTGCATGCATATATGTAATACTCCTATATTGGCAGTAAGAGCTAGTACCGTCCGAAAACATTGCAATACAGATACAGTATATTTTGCTTTGCTGGCTTTATGCTTAAGTGCACATTTAAGATACCTACCTTAAAATGCGCATCAGCGGTATTATTTTTAACATTTTTAAGGAAACTGCTCCGATAGATGCTTTCAACATACCTGCACATTAGCGATACCTGCCTTCAAAATTGTGCAACTGTTATCAATTATCAAAGAAAGTATGACGTTTACCTGCACTGCCCTACAATTACCTAATTTCAAAAGCTTTTACTTATTTTGCTCATCTCGCAGAACAACGAGAATGACTATCAACTTATGTAGTTATATAGATAATTAGATACCATTCGGTAAAAAATTCGCTTGCAGTAATTTCTACGTGATAGGCGCTCCTCCATTATTTGGTTTCATAGGGATTCGGATACCTTCCTAACTGAAGTAGTAAAGAAAATTCGCGTAAGTGCCTTTTTCGGTTAAGAGCACAAGTTTTTCGTGCAAACAAGGATGGGCAGCTAAGCAAAATATTCTGTACCTATATCAATAAAACCGTACAAAAGAAAAGGAGCACATACGTTTATAAATAAACATATACACAACACATACACAAAATCGGCGCTCCCGTACACAATACATACCAGGGATGATGCGAATATTTGCATTCGAATTCGTTATGCGAATGATTCGCATTCGTTATGCGAATGATTCGCATTCGCATCAAATGATACGAATGCTTTGCGAATGCGAATGTGTACATGGGCAGAGTGTCCACACTAATGTTGTTGAAATGGCTCTAAGTCTGCCTAACCAGGGTGCGGGCTATAACCGGCTTTTAGCTTCAGGCTCTAAACGGTTAAGTAGTATATCAAGCAACATTGATGGGTCTTTAACAAGTACCGCAAAAGTCGTATAAACAACCTAGAAATAATTTTAGATTCCTCCAGCGGAAGCAAAGGCTCGGATGTAAAATCTGACAAAATTGACAGATCTGGGCCGCAAATATTTGAGCGCTCCACCCGCCGTTCCAAGTGAGCAATTTTTAATGCAGCCGGTCTTATATACGAGCCTCCAAGAAATCGCCTCATGGGAGAAAAGGCAGCAAAATTACTTTTTTTGAAATATAATGTACCCATTTTGAACTTTGATTACAAGATTAAAACACTTATAGGTTAAGCACTCGTTCAATGTTCTAATTATTTAAAAAAAAATTTAAGTAATAAAAACGATGACTTAACATTCGCATTCGCACATTCGCATTCCGAATACCCGCATTCGCATTCGCGTTCGCGAATGTGAAAAATATGGCATTCGAAACATCCCTAATACATACACAAAAACCGTACTAGACTATCTCGCTTTGATTTCGGAATGCTTACACATTGGGAAGTTAGCTTACTACTTACTGGGCGCATGTAATAGACTTGAACTGATATCAAAAGTAATATATGTATGTGGGTATATGAATAACGATCGCTTAAAATCGATCTCACATTTTTAACACCGCTTCTATCAACTTGCAATGTTGTGTGTCCAGACAGCTATAAAAACTTTGCTTTGCAAACTTCCTATTAAGTCTAGATACCAACGTCGTTGGTTCGAGATGTAGATGTCGCCCTATGCACTACGTACGCTACAGCGGAAATGGATGACACCCCATTTCTTTAAATGAAATTAATTGGTGCTCGTATGTATGTACATATATATATGTATATGCATGTGTGTGCACCAATCTATTAATATCGTTGAATTATTTTAATAGCTATTGCAAAATTATACAGACAAGACTTAAAAGTAGAAAATCTATGTACATAAAACAAAGTCGTGTTAGTTACACCATCCATAACTCAGGAACGGCTGGACCGATTTTTATGATATTGTTTTTTTTTTTAATTTTTCTACCTTCCGGATAGCAGAATAACTATTAAAACAACCGCCAGGTGGCGCTGGAGTAGAGTTATAAGTAAAACCCTTATTTATGGTCCGATTCGCCTCATATTTGAGATATGTATTGACAATAGAAAAAACAATACCAGTGCAAAAAAAGAGCCGCCAGGTGTCGTTGGAGTCGAGTTATTACTAAAAATCGTGTTAAAGGCCCGATTATCCTCAGATTAAAAATATGTATTGATAACTGGAAAAAGAATTCTTTCGAAAAAAATTTGCCGCCAGGTGTCGCTGAAATTGAGTTACATATGTATATGTAACTAAAAATCGTATTTATGCTTGAATTTATTTCATGATCGAAATATATGAATTCACATATCGATGGTCCTCTGCAATAACGACACAACTCAAAATTCAACAAATCAAATCCCTTATTACTGTTAAGAGATTCATATCTCTAATCCTTGGCTAACCCATGTCTAATCCTAACTAAGGGAAGTTGTAAAGATTATACATGAAGAAGACAACAATTAAAGACATGAGCCACTTAACAATAGTACGAGTTTTTATTCTTTGAATTTTGAATTGTGTCGTTATTGTAGAGGACCATCGATATATTTATGACAGGAAAAGATACATATGAATTGGGGATCTAATGGGGGAGTGAAGTGAATCTATAACCTATCCTCCCCAAACGACAGCCTCACCCACTGCCCGTCAAGGCTTGGTGGTCCCTGTTATCGCTAACGAGGCTCTGTCGACCGGTGCGAGGCGGTATATCCTCGCTCAAGGCTGAGCTCCCGTAGTGAGGACCGGGCCCGGACTGTACGTGACGTGCATCGACTAACGCTCAGGACGACCAGAACGTGATGACGGGTGGACCACTACGTACGGGACCCCAATCTTCGCGTTTGAAAACGCACCGACAAATCCAGAAGCGTCTGTTCCCCAGTGGGC